TTGTGAGACAAGCAGCTACTAAGTAGCCAGGTTGGCCCTTGAACTTGAGATCCTCCTGTCTCCGCCTCCTGAGTGCAGGGATTTCAGGTATGTAACACCATGTCCGGCTACAATGGTCAAACGTTTGAGCAGACATTTAACTGAAGATGATACATGGAAGACAAGCACATGAAAAGTTTCTCAACATCATTAACCATTAGGAAAATGGTCAACTTTTCCAGAAAAGAAACAGTAAATATTTGAGACTACAGGCTCAGAGGCAAAATTGATGTTAGGATGTACAGGTAGTGATACAGAAAACTTTCACAAATTTTTTATTGAGAAAATTTAACACATAATAAAAATTGAGTAGACTTCTTAAAACTTTTTTTGTGTATGTGTGTGTGTGTGTGGTACTGGAGTTTGAACTTAGAACTTTATGCTTGCTAGACAGGTGCTCTACTGCTTGAGCCACTTTGCCAGCTCAAAATTAAGTACATTTTTTGTGATATAGCTGTAATAATGAAAATAAAGTACTGCAATTTGGGGGAGGAATAATGTTTCATTTCATTGAGGCTGAAAGTTAGTACTCTATCATCAAAATCAATTACAAGCACTTGTCTGTGATGAAATGTTACATGTTGCATCTTTGAAAATGTCTTTTTCACAATACAGGTACTGTGTAAAACATTTACTGATATCAATCATGAGCATATGAGCTTGACTGAGAACGCGTCACTTGGGAGACATTTATAGAGTTATATTAGATTCTCCTCTTGACATTTGTTATTATGTTGTAGATTAATTGTTTCCGATTGAAGTTTACCTGGCTGCTCTTCAATTGCTTAGAAAAACATACTTAGAAATATAAAAACTCCCCTGGTACTTGTATAGAAATCTGAAAAACAGTTGCTGCTGGACCTAAAGTTTGCACTCAGAAAAGACAGCAAATATGTGTGGGAAAGAATAGCTCATTTCCTTTTGAACTTTTGATAGCTCAGGAAATATATAGAGAAGCTGATATTACTTGTGATTCAAAATTACTTGTTGAGATTTCACCAGAGTACAAATTTTACCTATCACCATTGTTTTGCCCTTTGATTTTAGGGTGAATTAATTAAGAAACATGAAGACCGTGGAGCAGCTTATTCACAGGGCCATTCAGTTTTTGGTTTTGTTTGAGGAGGGCAGTACTGGGGATTGAACTCAAGGCCTTGTGCTTGTAGGCAGATGCTACACTGCTTGAACCACACCCCAAATCCTTTTCTTTCTTTTGGTGGGAATAAGGTTTGAACTCAGGCCTTAGAGCTTACAAAGCAGGCACTCTACCACTTGAGCCACACTTCCAGTCCATACTGCTCTGGTTGTTTTGGAGATGGGGATCTCACCAACTATTTGCATGAGCTGGCCTTGAACTGCAATCCTCTCAGTCTCAGCCTCCCAAGGGGCTAGGATTAGAGGCGAGAGCTACTGGTGCTCAATTTTCCCAACCCTTTCTCGCTTTAGTTATTTTTCAGATAGGGTCTTGAGTTTTTGAGGGCTGGCCTGGACTTTGATCCTCCTACCTGTGCCTGCCATGTAGCTGGGATGACAGGTGCTGCCATGCCAGCTTATTCATTGAGATGGAGTCTCATTAACTTTTTGCCCTGGCTGGCATTGAACCACAACCATGACACTCCTAATCTCTACTTCCTGGGTAGTTTGGATTACAGGCATGTACCACCATGGCCTGCTTTATTCAGAAAAATTTTAACTTTGACCCTGAGCTTAAAAGTTCTCAATCAAACCTTGTCACAGGTAAGCCACGAAACTGCTGTGTGGCCAGTTAAGTCAGTACATTCTGCTTCTTTTCTGACAAAAATTCTTCGAACTGATTATGGTTAAGTCAGTGCCAAGTAAAATTGCCACTGACATACTAACCCCCAATGGACTCCAATATTTTCCACAAAACACCTACCAATGAATAATAGAACAATGCATGTCACAGGCTTTAGGCACCGTGCTTTTTGGTGGACTTTGTCAGATTATCCAGTTAAGCTTTTTTTCTGCCCCACCCATATTTTCACTCTCATGTTTATCAGATCTTGGAAGATCCCATTTCAAGTGGTATTAAATTAGTTTCTTTCTCAACTTCTCCAACAACTATTCTCACATACATTTATTCCAAACAGACTATTTATAGAGGCTAATTCTCAGTTACTTCAAACTTGGCCTTTGCCCCTTCAAGAAACAACAGCTGGCCTGCATTGGTACAACTGTCAATTCATTTTAGGAGCCAAGGAAGACCACTTGAAATCACTTGCTGTTGATGTTGTTCCCTTTGTCTTTAATTCTTTGAGCAACTATTTTCATTAAAAGGCTAACAGTGTTAAGTTTATTTTCTGGACACATTTCTTTGTCTGCTGCAATCACATTGATTTCATTAACTCACTATTGGTAATAACTTTCTTCGCTTGGCTAGCAAATGAGTAAGTGGGAAAACAGTCTCATTTTCACTTTATCCTTTCTGTAAATAAATTCTACTGTGATGAGATATACTGCTGAAAATTTCCAACTTTCATCATCATCGACTTCTTGTGAATTAGGAATATTGTGGATTGCTAAATCTGGCAGTGTTGATATATGGTATCTTGTTTTTTTTCTTTCCTTTTTTTCTTTTTCTTTTCTTCTTTTTTTTTTTTTGAGACAAGGTCTTGCTATATAGCCCTCCAGACCGGTCTGGAACGCATGACTCAGCCTCCTGCCTTCGCCTCCCAAATGCAAGAATTATAGGTGTGTGCCACCATGCCTGGCTAATGTTGTATTCTTTCAGCACAGCTTTAGTGTCATTGTGTAATGAAAACAATACTTTGACATTGTCTTTAAAATGTGACATTTAAAGTCTGCTTTTTTTGTGTACATGTTTTGAAACAATGGGTATGCACTGGTATGAACAATGGTCACAGTACAGCAGTAGGTGTAGTGTGCAGAAGACTGGTTATAACTGGACCACTATGATTTTTGTGGGCTGAGTAGCAGTGGGAAGTGATGAGAGTACCACATATGGTCTCTGTCACAACTGTTTAACTCTGTCATTGTAGTGCAAATGTGGCTATTAGACAATATCTAAATACATAATCATAGCAATATTCCAATAAACTTTATGAACACAGAGATTCTAACTTCATATAATTTTCATGTTATGAATTATTATTATTCTTTTGTATTTTTTCCAATCACTGAAAAAAATGTAAAAATCATTCTTTGCAGGATATACAAAAACAGGCAGTGTGCTGAACGTGACCTACAGTTAGTAGCAACCTGCCTCATGCTCTAATCAATACCCATTACATGGTGTTCAGTCCCTAATAGGTAGACCGTACATGTCTAAGAACCAATGTGTGGAAATGGTAGTGGGTCTGTTGCCACTCCTTCCAGTTGTCCACTTGGGAATTGTGCTTTCTGTCTAATGAAAGGTTCTAGATTCTAAGGATGAAAGGCAGACATCAGAGGTCACAGTAAAAGTTCCATTAGACTTAGAGCTATGGCTGTGACCTGGTCACTTCAGTCTCCTTTTGCAAGAGATGTGCAGATAATGAAGAAATCACCACAGTGGCTGGGACAATTAGCCCCTGTCATTAGAAGCTGGGCTGCTGCCATGCTGTGAGGGCAGGACGATTCACTCTTGGTGCCTTGCTGCCCAGGTGTAATGGCAGACACGCCTATACTGCAGTCAAGGCCTGAAAAGTTCAATCAGAGAGCGAGATCCCAGCACCAGAGAGGAGGGTCTAGATCACCACCCCCACCTCCCCTACTGGTAGACCACCTATCCCAACAGAGATGCTATCAACGGTGGAGAGAATCTAGAAAGGAAAGTGGATGAAGGGAAAAGGAGTATGGGTAATGGCCTCAAAATAAATGGTAACAGTAGAGACTTGAGTTTGTTCCGAGCTAAGATCAATTGGAGTTCTGAAGAAGCTGTTTTTAAGTGGTGAAAACTTGCTATGGGATGGAGGTAGATCTGAGTGGCACAAACAGAAGGGCTGGTGGATTCTCCCCTCACAGCAGATGACTCGTCTCACTGGTGTTGGGAATACTTGCTGATGTTGGGTCACTGATGTCTGCCACTGGGAATTGGCTTTGGCCATAGAGAAGAGATTTGACCAAGGCTATGTCCCCTCCTAAGGGGACTCCTGCAGTCAGTGAATGGCTATGATCGGTGTTGAACGTGTCTTCCCAAAGGAGTATGTCGAAGTCTTAATTCCCAGTACCTCAGAATGTGACCGCTATAGTTTGGATCTGGAATGTTCCCCAAAGGCCCATGTGTTGAAGGCTTAGTCCTCAGTTTGGCATGACTGGAGGTGGTATAAACGTTTAGGAGCTGGGGTCTAGTGGGAGATCTCTAATTACTGGGGGGCATGCCCTTGAAGGAGACTGCAACACCCTGGTCTCTTCCTCTCTCTTTTCCTCAGCTGAGAAGTGGGACTAATGTCACTCCATTGCTGACAACATGCACTGTGGAATGCGGTGACTGGGGGCTTACCTCTGAGGCAGGCAGGTGGAGGCATCTAATAGACATAGGTCTCTCAGGTGTTGGCCTGGTCAACACCTTCACCTTCAAATGGGTGTTTCCAGCCCTGCTGCACACACTGTACCCCACTATTTCTCCACCTTACACCAGTCTTCCCCGCCTCTTTGTCCTGCTATGCTCCTCAGCTTCAAATGGCCTCCTCTTCTTCTGTGCATTCTCTATAGACCTACCCAAGCCTCTCCCATATTCACTCCACGCATTACAAACACGTGCCTCAGAGACCCAGGGACTGTAACTACCTCCCAAAGTCCAGGTGGATCTTCAGAGGCTGGGTACAGTCAGAGGCAGGTCCCTGCTTGTTCAGTGACACTTGTTGTATGTCTGATCATGGCCTCAAGGCCATCAGAGGCAGAGGAAGACAGAAGACTTTGAACTGAGTCTGAGATGGGGCCCAGGCTGGGTCTGGGAGATTCCTGTGATTTTTTGGCTTCTGTGTGTCCTGCTCTTTCAGGGTCTGCAGATAAGCCAGACCTCAGGGGGTCAGTTACAGTGAGGGAGTTTGTCCTGTTCCCTCAATTAAACTATTCTTACTGGAGAGGATCATTGTTATTTTTTGTATCTACTCTGCCTCCTTTTAATAAAAGGTGCCTTTATAACATATGTATAAACATGTGCTTCTACTGGGATCACCTGGTTCTTCATCATGACTTGTGTCACTCACTAAGTTTGTACTTATATCACCCCACATAGAGCAAACCTATTCTAATTGCTATTTGCTATGCCACTGTTTAAGTGAACTGAAATCCACTTAATGAAGATCATTTGGGTAATAATGAGTATTGCTAGATACTTTTGTGTATTTGAGATGGTTTTCTTTTTTTGTAGTCATTCTGGTAGGAAAGAGAGGACAGGTCCATCTAGGTTTTTTCAGGATGACTGTTGGGAGCCATCCTGGTGTCTGCATCACAGGTGCCCTTATGACATCATTGCTGTCTCCCCATCCACTCTTCCTGCTGGAGTAGAGGCTGGAGGAGTGCAGACTGAAGGGCGATGGAACCATCTAACCCCTAACCATGGGTAACTTATTAGAGAACTGACCTGAGGGGGTGTGATCCTCTAGCCCCAAGTCAGGGGTGAAACAGATCCATCCAAACTTTCTCAGAGGGCAGTGTAAGTTTCCCATAGCTCTGTGAGAAGGGATCCTTCCTTCTCCATGTTAGGAGTCCCAGAAAAATCCAGGAAAGTGGCTTGGCACCTAGTGGTAGGGAGGGCACCCTCATCTTTACCCGCATTTTCCTTCCCCAAACTTCAAGGGCAGAGCAACAAACCGTTTTAAATTATCCTCGAAGAGAATGATAAGGCCCAGTTCTAGCACGTGTGTGTTAGTGTTTATGTGTGTGTGTGTGTTTGTACCAAAGTATGTGTTCATTGAAGGTTAAGCTGTTGGTAACATGGGCAAGACAGAAGAATCCTTCACTGCTTTTGGGAGGTAGATGGGTACCCTGCCTCAGGATACTCCTGAAGTTGAAGGTACCCATCTGGTTGAACCAAAGATGCCAGTTTTTCCAGCAGGTGGGAGGGGTCTGAACAGAAGGTCATGGATCCCAGGAAGGTGGTCCTTGCCAGATGAAATTTGAAGCTCACTTACCTCTAAATCATGGTATTTCTGCTCTAGACTGTCCAACTAGGTCCATGGAAAATTGGGAGATGTAGCAAGGGTAGGTGTACCCATTTTACAAATAGAGACATTGAAACTCAAGACCAAGGTGATGTGTCCATGTTCATCAACCAGAGAGAGCAAAGGCGAGACACCAACCTGGTGGTCTGAGTCTAACTGTGACTGCTGAGCTTTGGAGAAAGAGACCACCCTTGATAGAGATCAGGATCCCTGCCTGTCACACCCCGAGTTCCCTGTGTCCTCAGCATTCTCTGTTTTCTCTTGCAAGGCCCCAAAGAAAAGACCACCATGACGGAAAATTCCGCAGCTGTGTTCATCCAAGCCTGGTGGCGAGGCACGCTGGTGCGCCGGACGCTGCTGCACGCTGCCCTCAGGGCCTGGATCATTCAGACCTGGTGGAGGCAGACGATGGCCAGGCTGCTGGTCCAGAGGCAGCGGACGCAGCTGGAGCGCTACTCACGGATAGAATGGGCGGCAGTGAAGCTGCAGTCCTGGGTGCGAATGTGGCGCATTCGCCAGTGGTACTTCCGTTTGCTCAACGCCGTCCGCATCATCCAGGTCTACTGGCGCTGGCACAGCTGCCATAGTCGTGGTTTTATTCAGGGCAACTATGAAATCAAAGAAAACCAACTGAATATTCAACTCGAAATCTCCCTGGGCTCTCAGGCTTGTAAGGTGCAGCAACGCATACCCCTTCCTATAAAAGAATGACCAGGTCTGCTACATCTGTGTCCTCAGCTCCTTTTCTCAGACGTATTTCCTGGAGGTCATGGTCGGAGCTGCCCACGGCAGATGCCAGGCACCTCCCAAGTCAGCTCTGAGAATTAGGTGTGGGGCTGGATGAGAAGGGTCTGTGATGGGTTAGCAGTGTCTGCGTGGGGGGAGAGGTAGAGTTTCCAGGTGGACACTGTGTGCAAGGTGCCTGCTGTAGCACTGCAACATGGGGACCTGGCTTCTTGTTGTTGGTTTTGGTTTTGGTTTTTGGTGGTGGGGGGAATGAGGTTTGAATTCAGGGTAGGTGCTATACTGCTTAATCCATGCCCGCAGTCCTTTTTGCTCTGGTTATTCTAGAGATGGGGTCTTGCTTTTTGCCCAGGCCGACCTGGACCATGGTCCTCCTATTTGTTTCCCGCTGTGGCCGGGATGACGCGGAGCATTTTTTTCTGTTGAGATGGGATCTCGTGAACTTTTCCCTTTGGCTGGAACCGCTGTCCTCCCAATCTCAGCCTCCATGTTTGCACGCACGTTCTCTCTCTCTCTCTCTCTCTCTCTCTTCTATTTAAGATATATTTACAAATTGTAAAATATACATAAAATAAAATTCACCATTTGAACTTTTTAGTGTACACCTCACTGACATTAAGTCCGTTCACATTGTTATGCATTCTTCACCATCATCTACCTCCAGCACTTTTCCATCTTGCAAAACAGAAACTTTGTACCCATTAAGCAGTAATTCTTTGCTTCTCCCTCTGTTCATCCCGAGATCCACCATGCGACTTTCTGCCTCTGTGAATGTATGTAGAATTCCACTCACACGACAATACTTGTCTTTTTGTCACTGGCTTATTTCACGTAGCATAATATCCTTGACATTCATGTGTCAGGTTTCCCTTTTTAAGGCTAAATAATATTCCATTGAATTCTTATTCTTTTATTACATGATTGATATGTGTGTTGCTTCCACCTTTTTGGCTATTTGAATAATGTGACTATAAACATGGGTGTGCAACAACAGGTGTTGGCGAGGATGCGGGTTAATTTTTGTTTGTTTCTTTGTGGTACTGGGATTTGAACTTAGAGCCTCATGCTTGCTAGGCAGATGCTCTACCACTTGAGCCACTCCACCAACCCCTATCACTATTTTTTTAAGGAACCACAGCAACTCCCATCAACAGTACACAAAGATTCCAATTTTGCCACATCTTCACCTCCTCCTCCTCCTCCTTGCCCCCTTCTCCCTCCTCTCCTTCCTCCTCCTCCTCTTTTTTGCAGTGCTAGGGATTGAACCTAGGTTTCCACAAATGCTAGGTGAGCACTGAACCACACTCCCATTTCTATCTCTGCTAGGTACTTAAGCCACGACTCCAGCCCTCTTAATAGTCTCTTTCATGGATGAAGTCAGATTTATAATTTTTTGCTTCTATGGACTCTTTCTAACCCCAGGAGATTTTCTCCTATGTTACCTACTAAAATTTTACTGTTATACATGTTACATTTGTGTCTACAATTCATTTTGAGTTTTTATATAAGAATTACATTGAGGTTCAATTTTACTTGCAAAGAGATTTCCAATTGTTTGAACATTTGTCCTTTTTCCATTGAAATCCCTTTCATCTTTGTCAAAAATGGATTGGCTTTGTTTGTGTGAATCTCTCTCTATTTCATTTACATATAGGTCTATCCTTCACCAATACCACAACCTTAGTTAACCCTGAAGCACAGTAATATCTTAAAATCAGATAGAATGATTTCTTCAATTTTATTGTTCTTCTTCAGAAGTGTTTTGGTTCTTGTAATCATTTTGACTTTCCATTTGAATTTTAGAATCAATTTGACTATAGCTTTGAAAATCTTTCTTGGATGTTGGGGATACAGCTTATTGATAGAGCACTTGCCTGGCATGTGTTTGACCCCCAACACCGCACAAACACACACACACAAAATCCTGGAATTCTGATGGGAATTGCAATAAATTTATAGGTCACTTTGAGATCACTGACATCATTACTATGACGAGTCTTCCAGCACATTTAGCATTTAGGCCCTCTTTGGTTTCTTTCATTGCCTTTTTGGAGTTTTCAAAAAGTAGATCCTGTACATATTTTATCAGATTTATACCTAAATTTTTCATCTTATGAAACTCTAGTAAATAATTTTTATATTTAAGTTTTCAGTTGTTGTTAGTATATAGAAACATGATCAAATTTTGTGTGCAAACCTTGTTTCTTGCAACTTTGATTAATTCTCTTGTGCATTCTAGACTTTTGTGGATTCCTTGGTATTTTCTACATAGAAAAACCTATAGACAGGGATAGTCTTATTTCTTCACTTCCAATCTGTGTATCTTTTATTTTTTTTTCTGACTATGGCTTTCAATACATAGAATTGATGGGAGTAAACATTCTTGTTTTTGTTTGGTGCAAAGCATTCAGTCTTTTACCACTAAGTAGGATGTTAGCTGTAGGATTTTTGTAGGTAACTGTTATCAAGTTGAGGAAATTCCTCTCTAGTCCTAATTTGCTGAGAGCTTTTGTTAGGAACAAATGTTAATGTTTGGAGCTGGGGGTGTGAGGGCCTCCGTCAGTCCCTAGTGTACACACATGCACGCACACTTAACACATTTGAATGTTGTCAAATATTTTCATGTTTCAATTGATATGACCAAATTGGCATAGTGAGTTGTAAATAATTGGTTTTCAAATACTGAAACTGTATTTCTGAAAGAAAGCCCACTTAGTTGTGATGCATGTGTGTATAATATATACTGTGTATTTAGTATAGACTACAAACTTGGATTTGCTAATATTTTGTTGATTTTTTTTTACTTCAATGGTCATGTTTTTACTTCAATTGTCATAAGGTATATTGATCTATTTAGTTTCTATTTTTTAACTGTTATTGTTTGGTCCTGGTATCAGGGTGTGTTTGTTAGTCTTCCATCACTATAACAAAATACATGAGGCAATTAACTTATTTTTTTAAAGGGTTATTTTGGTTCACAGTTCTGAAGGTTCTAGTGCAAGGTTGAGTGGCTCCATTTCTTTAGGCCTCTAGTGAGGCCAGCACACTGTGGCAGGAGTTCATAGCAGAGCAAACTGTTTATATCAGGAAGCAGAGAAAGAGGAGGAGGAGGAGACCAGGAGAACAGGGTCCTACCATCCCCTTTGGAGACAGTAGCTGAAGCCCTCCCACAAGGCGCCACCTCTCAGCAGTTCCACTGCCTCCTGAGAGCATCACCCTGGACCCAGATTTTAATACATGGAACTCTGAAAGCCACTAATCCAAGCCACAGCACAAGGTAGCACTGGCCTCACAAATGAATTGGGAAGTGTCTTCTCCTCTTCTATTTTGTGGTGGAGGGAGAGGAAGGTGCAGAATCAGTAGTGTTCATTTATAAAATATATAGCACTTACCAGTTAAAACCATCTGCAAAGTTTTTAACTACAACTTCAAGTTTGAAAACAGCTATAGGATAACTCCAGTTATTTATTCCATCTTGGACAAGTTTTGGTAGTTTTGGGTTCAAGGAATTGACCCATTTCATCATATTAATGTATACATGGCTGTTGATAGCATTTCCTTGCCACCTGTGCTCAACAGATCCCATAGGAAATTGCATCCAGTGACCAGGTTCTTTTATCCATTCACCTGGGTCAGGCATTGTGGCTGGCACCTGGCAAAGACTGGCCTCAGGCAAAGCAGGGTCTCTGCCACTGAGGTAATCCCTGAAGGAGCCCCCTTCGGGGGCAGCCAGCACTTCCAGGAGCTGAGGCAAGTCTCTTGTGGAAGGGGAGCCCAGGTGCTGCATTTCATGGATATAACTACTTCATGTTTACTGATTCTTACTATGTATGGACGTACTGCCATCTTATTTTGTGTTTTAAGGCTTTTTTTTTCCTTATGATCCATTCTTCTTTCCCCGTTTTTTGTTTTGGTTTGGTTTTGGTGGCACTGGAGTTTGAACTCAGGGCCTCACATTTGCTAGGCAGGTGCTCTTACCCCTGGAGCTACTCCACCAACCCTTTCCCTGTTTTTGGTTAAGTTGGTAAGAGTTTCAGATTGGTGAACTTTTTTCCCCTTCTACTATTTTAGAAATTGTGTCAGATAGTGTAAAGTGATTTGGTGTCTTGTTTTGCTTTGTTTTGTTTTTTTAGCAGTCCTGAGTCTGGAACTCGGAGCCTCACAGCTGGCAGGCAAGCACTTTACCACTGAGCTACACACAGCCCCAGCCCACAGAGCATCCAAGCCGCTTGCCCATAGCCACCCCACCTCCTGCTCACCAAAAGAACTGGGATTTGATTGGCTGCCAACATGCTCATTTACATGAACATTTCCAGCCTCCTTGAAGCTGGAGTAGTCATGTGATACTCACTGGCCAATGAGATGTCTGAAGGAGTCACTGGGTGGATCTTCTGGAAAAGCTCTGTAAGGAGGCTGCCTGGGTTCAAATGGGCGTTTTTCCATCTTCCCTGAGATGTAAGCCTGACAGCCAGCACTAAGGTAACCGTTTTGAGAGCATGAGAACAGTGAGTGACAAACTAGTAGGAGCGTACTTCTGCGATGACATTACGAGTAGCCACACCAGGCCTGGACTGTCCACGCTCAGTTGTTTTGGTTTTTTTAAGCTTTTTTTTTGAGACAGGTTCCCACTATGTGGCCCAGGCTGGCCTTGAACTCACTATGTAGGCTGTACTGGCCTCAAACTTTTGATCCTGCTGCCTCAGCTTCCCAGGTGCTGGAATTATAGGTGAGCCCCACTACACTTGCAGACAAACAACTTCTGATGTAGAAACAAACCTCTGATTTGTTTGACTCACTGTATTTTAGATTTCTACTCTGGCCAAACATAATTTCTTTTGCAGGGAGGAGGGAGGGACTGGGGTTTGACCTCAGGGCCTTATACTTGCTAGGCAAATGCTCTACCACTCAAACCACACCACCATCCCTTTTTACTTCAGGTTATTTTCAGATAGGGTCTCATATTTTTGCATGGTGTTGAACTCAGAACATGATCCTCCTGCCTGTGGCCTCTTGCTTAACTGGGATCACAGACATGGCCAGTTTATTGAGACAGGGTCTCCCTAACTTTTTTACGTGGGCTGGCCTCCAACCACTTTCCTCCCAATCTCTGCCTCCTGAGTAGCTGAGATTACAGGCATGAGCCACCATGCTCAGCCTTGCTGATGTCTCTAGAAGATATATGCCTATTCCTCTTCTTCTAGTGCTACACTTAAATTTTAGCACTTATTTTATTTGGCATGATGGGAAGTCTGAAACAAATCAGTATTTGTGCCCCAAATCAGGCAAAAACTTCAGCCAGATTTCCTTTTCTCTACCCATTTTACATTCAGCAGCTCCCTACGCTGATGTCATCTGAAACAGTGTACATATTTTATGGAACTATACCTATTAATAGAAAAATCTTGTTCATTTATGACAATAAATTTCAGTGGAATCTGTGTTCATTACTGCTTCTTGTATCATTTCCTGGATTTGTTGTTGTCATGGAGTTAAGTTCCCAGAAATACTTTCAGAGGTTTTTATTTAAATTTTTGGCAGTACTGGGGTTTGAACTCAGGACCTTGTTCTTGCTAGGCAGGTGCTCTGCCACTTGAGCCATACCCCCCACCCTTTTTTTGTTTTAGTTATTTTTCAGATATGATCTCACGTTTTTGCCCTGGGCTGCCCTCAGACCACGGCCTCCCTCATAACTGAGATCACAGTCATTCGCCACCATGCCCAGCTTGGTTTGTAGACATTGGGATTTCCTTAACTCCCTCTCTCCCCCGTTGGCCTCAAGCCTCATCCTCCTGATCACTTCCTGAGTAGCTGGGATTGTAGACATGACCCACCACACCTTGTTCAGAGATCTTTAATGGGGACCAAACTTTGAATTAATTAAAATACCTTCTATTTTGTCCTTACACTTGAATGACAGTTTAGTAGCATGCCACTCTGTGCTCAGAGCATTGGATGTTGCTGCATTCTCCCTGCACCCAGCATTGCTATAGAGATTGCTGATGTCAGTCTGAAACTTACTCCCTGCCAGGTCATTTGTTGATGTCTTTTCCTCTTGAATTTTCTAAGTATTTTGTTTCCATCAGTTATGACATTGTGCTGTGATCTGTGTGGTGCTCCATCTGCTTTTCGTCATCTCTTGAGGGCAAGTAAGTCCCTTAGGCTCTGGGAAACTCATTCATGCTTTAATGTCGTTGCCTCATCTCTGTTCCTCGTCTCTCAGGGACACACACTCAACCATGACTGGAACTCCCGGATCACTGCCCTGTTTTATTTTCTCTGCCCTTTTGTGTGCAATCCAAGAGGGCTCTCTTGTCAAACATTCCATGCTCAAATCTGCCCTTTCTCCTTCCTGCTATGCATCCCGTGTATTAATCTTGACAATGGTGTTCCTTTCTAAGATTTGTAAATAGCTCCTAAATGATGGTTTGTTCTTTCATACCCAAGATGTCTTCTGTCGGCTGAGAATATTAATTTCACTCTTTGTGTGTTGGGGGCGGGGGGTGTGATCAAACCCAGGACCTCATGTATGCTAGTCAAACACTCTACCACTGAACTGTATCCCCATCCGTTGGTTTATTTGTTCTTTTTTTTTTTTTTTTTTGAGGCAGGATCTCACTATGTAGCCTAGGCTGGCCTCAAACTTAAGATCCTCCTGCCTCTGCTTCCTGCATGTGGGGATTACAGGCATGTGCCACCACTCCCAGTTAAATTTCCTTTGGCTATCACGTTTGTGTTTCTGAGGTTTAGGGAAACAACAGCACGTTTTTTCTTGCTGTTGGCTTCCTCCAAAGCTTGGTGACTCTTACTGGGTGTTCATCTTTGGTTTTTAGATTTCCCCTTAGCCTACTAATGAGTGTCGCATCCCTGATTCCATGGATCTCAGGGGAGACCCATGGGGTGAGCTCTCCAGGTGAAGTATCAGTGTCACATGGCACCAGGCCCTGCCACTCCTGCCCAAGGCCAGTCTCAGGTTCACCTGGACACAGTCCCTCTCTTGCCAACTGCTTGGCTTCCCTGAGAGTCATGCAAGAAAATTCATTAAGGATAATAAGAACCAGGAGTCTCTCTCTCAGAAAGAGGAGTTAGAAATGTGGAGAGAACTAGAATGAACGCTGAGTCTAGATTGTAGCTGAAGGTGTCAGTGTGAACTCAGACACCTCAATATAGATGTAGAAAGAAATAGAAATAGAGCTGTATTGTTTGTGCAGATGTGCAAACATATTCCCTGGCTCTGTCACTGAGGCGGCCTGGGGGTGGGGTTAGCTCAGTAACCAGGGGCTGTGGGTCACTCCAGTTGACCCCAGAATTTGCTGCCTTTTCTACAGACCCTCAGTATTTAATGTCTATGCTTTATTTTGTTGCTGATGCTGGATATTTTGAGCTTTATTAAAGTGTAATTGACAAATAATTTAAGAGATTCAACTTGATGTTTTGAAGATGCTGAAGTTTTATGTTGCCTGATATTCATCCTGAAAGGTAGGGCTAATTAGTCTCAGATCACAGCTCAGGAAACTTGGGCTCAGAGTGGGGAGTTGATTTGTCCATGGCCACATAGCAATGAGAAGCAGAGCCAGCAACCTGACTCAGGTTCTCAGAAGTCTTTGCTTTAAGACAATGAACACAAGGCAAAGGGAAGCAAAGTGAGAGAGAAATTTTCTGAGTGGGAGAAACAGGCTTTAAGAAAGACACGGGCAGGATATGAAGCAGAAAATACAGAGCTCACTGGGTGCCAGTGATGGTTCACGCCTCTAATCCTAGCTTCTTGGGAGGCTGAGATCCAGAGGATTGTAGTTCGAGGTCAGCCCAGGCAAATAGTTCTAGAGACCCCCATCTCCAAAATACCAGAGCAAAATGGACTGAAAGTGAAGCTTAAATGGGAGAGCACCTGCTTTGCAAATGCAAAATCCTGAGTTCAAACCTCAGTACCACAAAAAAAAAAAAAGAGAGCGAGAGGGAAAATACAGAGTTCACACCTAAAACAGGAAAGATGATAGGGAGCTGGAGCCTGAGACCTCTGGGCAGCATCTCAGAAACTCTGTGAGCTAAGGGACCAGCTCACCAGAGTCAATGGGGCTGAGCTGGACACAGGGCTCTGAGCTTATAGCCTTGTAGGGAAGGACCCAGAACCCAGGCCTCTCTCTCTGCAGGAACCTGTGGAATAACAATATCCAGACAGGCAGCAGACTCTTGACCATTTAATTAGCCTTTTATCACCAGTTGGCCCCATTCCCTCCCCAGGTGGCAACATGTCTCAGGAAGGGACTTTCAGAGGACCCAGCTGTACCTGGACCAGCCTCCTCAGCTCCTGGGCCCATGATAGCATGGGGTATGACATGCACCAGAGGGGAGGGTTGGCAGTAGAACAGTGTGGAACCTCCCATGCTGCCCAGGTCTCTTAGCCATCATTTGGGACTGTCCCAGCTTGAGAGACAGATGGGGTTCAAGGTGGGAGTAAGCACTTGGTTGGGCTAACAGCTCCCAGTTTGGATCTCAGATTCTGTCTTAGAGGCTGAGTATAAGGTTGCAGCCCCAGTTGGACAGGGAGACGGGATTCCTCAGAGCTAGTAAGCAAGATGCCAAGATCGCCCCTCATCTGCTCTGCCCTCCTGGAGCTTGGTGGACAAAGTCTGCAGGAGACCACATCACTGCTTTATTGGGAGGGGGATACACTCCGTCACAATGAAAGGCCCTGAGCCTAGCAAGACCTCCAGCTCGAGGTGCAGCTGGTTGGATGTGATGTGGTAGTGGCCCTTGATGACACCCCTCGAAGCACAGATGTGGCACCTCCAATAGGCCTGGATGATGTGGACAGCACTGAGCAACTGACAGTAACGCCGGCGGACACGCCACATGCGGACCCAGGACTGCAGCCTGACCACTGCCCACTCCTTCTGTGAAAATGTCTCCAGGATCTCCTGCCGCCTCTTGTTCATAAGCTTCGATAGCATCAGCCGCCACCAGCCCTGGATGATCCAGGCCCTGAGGGCTGCATGCAGCAGCGTCCGACGAACCAGTGTCCCCCGCCACCAGGCCTGGATCTTTACAACTGGCGTATTTTTCTCCTTGTTTTCTGAGGACTTGCAAGGAAAAAAGGGGGACATTTAAAGAATGCTCCCCCAACCACCTTAGTCCCAGGGAGTCCTGGGACTAAGATAGGTCTTGCCCGTCTATCAGGGCCTTCTGAAATTTGCAGCCCTGGGCAGGGCACTGGCTAGAAACAGACCAGGTCAGAGTCCTGCCACTGCTACTTCCAGGTTAATGGCCACAAGCACATCCCCTTGTTCCTTGAGTCTCAGCATCCCCATCCATAAAACAGGGGTTTATCTGTCCTGGCATCACAGCCTTCAGGGTAACCAGCCTATAGCCAAAACTCTGCTCTATGGGTCAAGGGTTACCTGTTCTGTGTGAGCCTGCCCACCTACCCAGGACCCATGGCCCTTCCCTTCAGACCCTCCCACCAGCTGGGGAAGTGACATCCTTTGCTCCCCCACCCTCCCTTTCCTGATTCCACATCAGTTCACAGCCTGCTCCCTCCCTCTGTCATGTCCTCATAGTAAAAGTTTCCCCAACCATAAAGTTCTGCATCGTCTCTTCCCCATCTTCACTTGCCTTGACTTTCACACTTTTAATCTTAATTGACAAGCAAATGTACATGCACAGATGCACACACACACACACACACCTTCCCCTATCTTGTCCATTCCATTCAACACAGTCCTGGCCTTCCCGGTCCCAGCCTTGTGTGCCCTAGAGAGGTAGTACTATTTTGAATTTCACATGAGCACTGTCTGCTCTGTCTCTGAACCAGTTTTAGCCTGAAAAGACAATGGGAAAGGAGGAGAAACAAGAATGTGTTTCCTCCTGTTCTTAGGTCCAGACCATGCAAAAGACTAGCCACAAAACTAGGAGTCAAGGATCAGTGACACCCAAGCCAAGGCTCCTCCTACCTTGGCCTTCTTCAAGGTCACTGATGCTGAGGATAGGTCAGTCAGCTTTTCCGTCTTCTGAGGGTCGTTATCTTCAGCAGATACATTAGTATCTTTAGGCTGATCCTCCTCCTGAGATCAGCAGATGGGGAACGGTAAGAGGGAGGCCACCGCCCCTCCCTCTCCATACATTACACACATCCCTGGCTTCCATGGCTCCAGATGTCAGAGGAGCCCCTCATCCTGAGAAGTCTATGGGGACATCCCTAACAAGCCCAGTATGTCTGGTTCTCTTTTACTCACCATTGGTCACACATGGACTGGGTGTAGATGGTTCAAAACCCCTCAGGTCCGTGTTCAGCCAATCATGGCATGAGTGAGAGTGGAGGAGGGAGACCATGATGTCATAAGAGCAACTATGACTCAGGCACCAGGGGGCTACCAACAGAGAAGCCTCTCCAAGGAAAAGACAAAGTGCTGCCCATTCTTTTCTACTATAAATGTTCAAAGCTCTGGCTTCAAAGTCAAAATGCCAGAAATACCAGCCTATTGGTATAATGGTGTATGAAGATGGTCAGTCATTGGTAATAACATTTTTTTGGCAGTACCGGAGCTTGAACTCAAGTTCTACACCTTGAACCACTCCACCACCCATTTTTTGTGATAGGTTTTTTCAAGATAGGGTCTCACAAACTATTTGCCCTGGCTGGCTTCAAACCTCGATCATTCTGATCTCTGCCTCCCGAGTAGCTAGGATTACAGGCGTGAGCCCTGGTCCCCAGCTTGGTAATAACATTTAATTGAAAAACTTAAATATTTATCAATAGGGATTGGTTTAATGGTTTATAGTCCATTTCTACCTTAGAATACTATGTAACTATTAAAAATGAGTTGATCTGTATTACTGATGAGGATGTACATTCAAGATGCGTTTGTAAGTGAAAACACGTATATAAACAGAAGTATCTAAGAACCTAATTATGGGCATATTTGAATATAAAAGGGGAGAAAAGTATTTACTCAGACTGTTTCCTTTGAACGGAAGTGTTGAATTGCTGTTTTATGTGTGACCCATGTACACAGTGTCCAGGAAAACCCATGTGGCAGGCGCCCAGGACCCAGACTGGGCCACCATCTCAGCCTTGAATGGCTCATGATCACATGTCTCCCTCTACCCTTGGGCCTCAGGGTAGCTACTGCACAAGTAGGACCCCCCTTCTACAGGGTCATGGACCTAGACATGATCTGGATTTCCCTGAGTCCCCACAGAGTCACAGCCCCAGGGATCACTGAATGTGTGGGGTAAGTATAGAAGAGTCCCATGGGGGGAGAGGGTTGTTGGGGCAAAGAGGAAGAGGCCATTTGGGCCTGGGAGTGTCATAAACGTAAACAAGGTGAGGGTGAGAAGCTGTGGGTTTGGAGCGACAAAAATGATATAGCACGTGTCCATTTAAGAAGGATAATGTTGTAACACTAGTAGGTTTTCTACCTCCCAACACACATCTGCGCACATCCACATGGGGTGAAAGTTTTATGCTTTTGGAAGGGTAATCCCCATTTTCCTCACAATCTAAATCAATGGGCTTCAGCTTATTGAAAGACAAGAAGATAAACTGGGTGTGTGGCACATGTCTGTAATCTCAGCACTTGGGAGGCAGAGGAAAGAAGATTGCAAGTTTGAGGTCAGCCTGGGCTACATAGTAAGACTCCATTTAAAAAAGGGGGGATAGAGGGAGGAAGGAAAGGAGGGAGGAAAAAGAGAGGGGAGAAGAAGGGAAGGGAAGAGAAGGGAAGGGAGGAAGGAAGGGAAAGGAGAGAAGGAGGAAAGGAAGGGAGGGAAAGAGGAAGGAAGGAAAAAGGGAGGGAAGAAGGAAGGAAGGAAGCAAGGAAGGAGGAAGGAAGGAAGAAAGGAAGGCCCATCAGTGAGCTATGGAACATCTTCAAGTCACCTGTTAAACATGTAATTGAAGTCTCAGAAGAGAGTTCATACCCTATTACCCCCCCAAAAAAAATCTCAGAAAATATCATCAAGGCCACTACTGTGGTATGACTGGCGACACAAAGTAAAGTCCCCAAGACCAGAGTAAAACCCCAGAGCCAAGATGAAAACCACTATTAAAACTTAACCAACAACCTCAAATAGAGTTTCCAAGGCATCTAACCTGTAGCCAACTAAAGTTTCTGAATCAGACTATGGAAGTGGTTCAACCAATCCAAAATTCAACTGAATTGCAATTGCCCTGGTGATCAAACCAGGGCTATTACAAGTTACCCATCATGAGCATAACCAAGTGAGCTCTACTCCAAAATAAAGGACAGGGGAGTAGGGAAGAGTTGACACTTCTGGAGTGGGAGGGTGGTACAGCCAGAAGCAGCTGGGGTGGGACCTTGCCATTCATGGCTGACATTGAAGCAAAGGTTCAGACGGCTGCTTTTCACTCACAGGAAGGTCCATGCTGATCATCACCATTGTCCTGTTAGGTGGGTCTCAAAAAGAGGGCTCCCATCTGGGTCAAATATGTCACAAACGACTGGGACTGTTCTGCTCTACCCTTTCACTCACAGGAAGGTCCATGCTGATCATCACCATTGTCCTGTTAGGTGGGTCTCAAAAAGAGGGCTCCCATCTGGGTCAAATATGTCACAAACGACTGGGACTGTTCTGCTCTACCCAGACAGAAGTCCTGGGTAGGTGAGGAGAAGTTTGTCCAGTTATTCTGGCCCCCTGACACTTTTGCAAATAGCAGCTGTCAGTGGATGACAGCAGGCATGGCAGGTGGCACCCTCTAGGGTCTCAGCTCCCATGCCTTGGGGATGGCAGTACAGACCCCTGGCCTCAGTGGTTGGGGCCCAATGTGTCTGGCAGTCATAGTGGCTACACTGGCTTCCATATCTGGGGATCGAGCCTGAGAGGTTTGACAGCCGCAGTGGTGGCACGGATGTCCGCACCTCCGGGATCAGGTGTGGAGCAGCTGACAGCTCTCCATAGAGGTCAGTGTTACAGCTCTCACGCTCTGGGGTTGGGGCCAGAGCACTTGACAATGTTGGCTGGGGGTGACACGCAGGGTGGACAGTGTGACAGCTCTCTCTCATGCCTTGAGGTCAGGACCCAAGGCACTTAGGCAAATGCCACTATGTCCACCTGGATTCCAGTCACCTTCGCTGATGTCAGTTTCACAACCCCACCATGCCATGGATAGCCCTGCTATTTCCTATCCCACCAGCTCGGGGAGCCCCATAGACTACCAACGCTCCTGCCCACAAGGGAGGTCCTGATTGGCCACCTTCTCCTCCAATCTCACTCTTGTACATGGTTCCCCCTATTGCAGGTGCCACTGCTGGCTTCATTACTGCTCTACCCAAGATGGCCCCAGATGTCCACTGCAGCTCTCACCGCCACCACCATGCTGCTCCTGCCCACAGCTCCTGATGCCACAACTGCTTGCCCACCCCACTGCTGCTCTTGCCATCCAGCCACTGCTGCCACCTCTGCTGCTTCTCCTCCTGTCTTTGTGTAACCAGCCCAGCAACTCTACTAATGATGAGAATCAAAAGTGGCAAGAAGACCACTTGAGAGGCGTTATTGGACCTGCTCTGGCAAAGCTGCAGGGCAGAGGTCAGGTGCCTAGCTACTTGGGAGGCTAAGATCAGGAGGATAGAAGTTTGAGGCCAGCCCAGATGAACAGTTCATGAAACCCCTATCTCCAAAAATAACCAGATTAAAAATGGACTGAAGGTCTGGCTCAAGCAGTAGAGATCCTGCTTTACAAGCACAAAGCCCTAAGTTAAAACCCCAATATCATCAAAAAAAAAAAACAGGGCAGCACAAGGGGGTGTCTCCCAGCTGCTTACAAAATGAGGCAAACACCTTCTTGCACAGGCAGAAAGGAGGTGTGACAGAGTATCTGCACCAGTCATAGAAGTTCCCTCATGCAAATAAAGGGCTGTGTTTGCACCAGTCACAGGCCTTTTGTTGGGCATCAGAAGGAAGTGAGCCCCGCCTGGCCTAGGTGAAAATTGAGTCATCTAGAATTTTCCAAGGCTTATGGGGTGACATAATGTCTGGTGTAAGTTGTTTGTTGAGACAGTGCCTTCAGAAGATGGAAAGGCACTTCAGTAGCAAGCTATGGATGTCATGTGACTTCCCCAAGATGTCCACAGAGTACAGCTGGTGCTGGCATGAGAGCTGGCTGCTGTGCTGATAGTTCTTCACTCAAGTCAGCCGGGGTCCCAGGGAAGGTCTAACAGCTGTCAATTAGGAAGTGAAGTCTCCTCAGCCCCCAACATCTCAGCGCATTAAAGGGAAAAATAAAGAATATAAGGTGCTTAAAACAAAAGCTCATGAGTATTTAACAGTGCTCTAACTAACAATGCTTAACTCCTGCCCAGGTGCCCAGGGAGAGGTGCATCACTGTCATGTATCAATACCATTATGCATTCTTTATGATGGTTTAAAAAATATACATCATGAAAACCTGAGACCACCCACTAGGATGCAAAATAAAATAATCCCTATACTTTCTATCTTTGTGGCAGCCTAGATTGAATTGGAGAACACATCAATAGAGAAAAAGGAAAAGGAAAATCTGAGAATAATGAGTATTGGCAAGGATGTACAGAAAATGAGACTCTCATATATTTTTTAAGGTACTACCATACAAAAACTTATTTTGCTATTTCTTTTTAAATTAAAAATAAACCTACCCTGTGTCTCAGCAATTCCACTCTTAGGTATTTACACAAGAGAAATTAAAACACAGGTTCACGAAAAGACTTGTATAAGAAAGCTAGTAGCGTTATATTCGGAATCACCAAACGCTGGAAATATTAAATACCTACAAACAAGAGAACAGTTAAATAAACTGTGACATATTCACAAAATGAAATACTACAGGGTAGTAAAAAGAGAATCATGCTAACTGATGTGGATAAACCTTACAGACGTTATGTTAAACAAAAAAGTCAAACAAAACAGGACATATTGTACAATTCCATTGATATGAAGTTTTAAAATGTGCAAAACTAATACATCACAACAGAAATCAGAACAATGGCTACCTTGGGAGTTGGGATTGATTAGAAAGGAGCACAGGGAGCTGGGTGCCGTGGCTCATGCCTGTAATCTTAGCTACTTGGGAGACTGAGACCAGGAGAATCGCAGCTCATGGTCAGCACAAGCAAATAGTTCATGAGACGCCCATCTCCAGAATTACTAGAGCAAAATAGGGTGGAGGTGTGGCTCAAGTGGTATAGCACCTGCTTTGCAAGTTCAAAGCCCAGAGCTAGAACCCCAGTCCCATCAAAAGGAAAAAAAAAAGGCAAGGAACTTTCTGGGGTGACAGAAATGTTTTATACATTGATATATGGATTATGGGATATATACATTTGCCCAAAGTCATTTGACTGCATATTTAAGATTTCTTCATTTTATTGTACATAAATTATACCTTGCTTTGTATTGTTGTTTTGTTCTATTTTACCTTAGGGGATTTTGTTTGTTTGTTCGGGGGATTTTTTTTGTGGGACTGGGGTTTGAACTCAGAGCTTCATACTTGTAAAGCAGGCACTCTATCCCTTTAGCCACACCTCTACTCCATTTTGCTCTGGTTATTTTTTGTGATGGGTCTCATGAGCTATTTGCCCGGGCTGGCCTCAAACCGCAATCCTCCTGATCAGTCTCTCAAGTAGCTAGGATTACAGACATGAACCACTGGTGCCAGTTTTACCTTGTTTTTTAATGACAGTGAAATAACACTTTTCAGAAAAACAAAAGCTGGTATAATTCATTACATCAGACTTATAAGAAATGCAAAAGGAAGATCCAGATTGAAGCTCAGAGGAGCAGGTAGGAATTAAAATCCCCAAAGGTGGCAAATATGTGGGCAATAATATAAAACCATCTTTTTAAAAGTTCTTTAAAATATCAGTGAGTTCAGAGATAGAAAGGCAGAATAAGTGTACTACAGGCAATCTTTCCCAGTGATTACAACCAAAGCAACTAGATGCTAAAAAGCAAACAAAAGTAAAGAAATGGGGAAGAAAGAAAGAACTAAAGAACTGTGCATTCCAGTTTTCAAGTAAAAGTCAAGAGCAGGCCAAAGCCAGGTCTATCATCCTAGCTACTTATGAGATAGCGACCAGGAGAACTGTAGTTCAAAGCCAGCCCCAGGCAACTAGTTCATCAGACCCTATCTCAAAAATAAATCCATCACCAAAAAGAGCTGGAGGAGTGACTCAAGCTGTAAGAGTGCCTGCCTAGCAAGCATGAGGCCCTGAGTTCAAACCCTAGTACCGCCAAATAAAAACCAGGCCAAAATTCAGAACTGCACAAGTGTGGATAGCAAATAATCCTAGAGGATCATTTTCCACCAAAAAAGGCACTTCCTCAAACCAGAAGTTGTGGTGCTCTCCTCCTCTTCCTCTCCCATTTGTCTTCATCTTCTTCTTCATGTCTTCATCTTCTTCATCTTCTTCCTCTGTCTTCCTCTTCATCTTCACTGTCTTCTTTGCTGTCTTCATAGATGTCTTCTTTTCCTTCCTCATCTTCTCCTTCCTCATTTTCTTTGTCCCCTTCTTCACATTGGCCTTCTTCACCATCATCTTCTTCTTCATATTGGCTTTCTTCTTCTTCCCCTTCCCTGTCCTCTTCATATTGGCCTTCCTCCCCCTCATCATCCTCTTCTTCACATTCGCCTTCCTCACCTTCCACTTCACCATCTTTGTCTTCATCTTCTTCTTTGCTGTCCTCTGTTGCCTTCTTCATCTTTCTTTGCTTTCACCTCCTTCTTCATTGCCCTCATTATCTTCTCCTTCATTTTGTCATCTTCATCTTTTTCTTCTTCCTCTTCATCTTTTCTGTCTTCTTCATCTTCCTCCTCATGTTCATCTTCACTGTCTCTCTTGCATTGTCTTTGTCTTCCTCACCATCTTCACCTTCACCTTCTTCATTTGTGTCTTCTCTCTTTGTATTAGCTTTTTTCTTCATCATCATTTCCCTTTCATCTTCCTCTTCATCATCACCTTCACATTCACCTGCTTCATCTTCTTCTTCATCTTTTCTTTCTTCATCATCTTCAGCTTCATCACTTTCCTCTTAATCTTCCTCTTCGTTTTCTTTTACGTCTTCTTCATCATCTATGTCTTCTTCATTTTCATCTTCACCTTCATTTTCTTTGTCATCTTCTACATCATCTTTTCCATCTTCTTCATCAATTTCTTTGTTTTCTTCATCTTCACCTTCTTCATCTTCATTGTCCTCTTCAACTTGCTCTTCACCTTCTTTTTCTTCCTCATTATCTTCATTTTCTCCTTTGTCATCTTCTTCATGTTCATCTTCTCCTTCTCCTTGGTTTTTGTCTTTTTCTTCTTCATCTTCTTCTTCCCAAGGTCAGACGCAATCACAAAATTGCAGTGTCATGGTAGTGGTGCACAGACACCTTAAAAACAGCTCCCAAGGAATTCCAAGATGGTGGCTAGAGGGAGGAAGCAGAAAGCATGCCTCCTAAAGTAAAATCTTGGAGAGATGCTGGAGATACACATTACAGGAAAAAACCACTGAGAAGAGGCAAAACTTTGACTCCTCCACACCTCCAGCCTGTGCATAGCATCTCCACTTCATGTTAAATAGAGAAACCAGGAGGGGTCCCGCACTGCCGCCAGACATGAGCACCCAGACGGCTTGGGAAGATGCGGACAACAAGGTGAGCTAAGTGGTACGCAGTACTCCCACAGACAACCCTGGGCCAGATCAGCATAGCCCCCTGGACAGACCGACCCCCACACAGAGAAAAAAAGAGAAACTGAATAATAAACAATAACAACAAAGACATGTAGCAAAGAGGGTGGGGTGCCCTGAGCGCCGAAGGGGGAGAGGGGAAATTCCTCACAAGCCGGCTGGAGAAGGCAGGGGTGGTGGCACACACCCAGCAATCAGGGGCGGGAAAGCTTGAAAAGTGGCAGTGGGAGGAAAACTCCACAGGAGAGGGGGAAAGACCCACTTCCCATGTGAACTGTAAATAAACATGCAGGCCTGAGAAAGCGGTGCAGTGTCACCTCCCCCAGCATGTTTGGAAAGGGGAAAGCTTGTAGCAGTGGCATCACGCCCAGGAGAACTCTGAGTAAATAAAGACTGTGGGGCCAGTTGAGTGCTAAGCTCACCCCTGAGATCTGCATAAATAAAGCCTCCAGAAACAGCAGGCTGACGGCAGTGGGCAGGTGAGCCACAGCCGCAGATACCATTCACAGAACTGTGTCCAGACTCTTTTTTTTTTCTCTCTCCCTTTGATGAGACAATAACCGAACTACACCTGCATGCTGAAAACCTTACTGAAACTGTATTGCATTTGAACTTGGGACACTTTGTGGGGGTTTTTTTGTTTTGTGTTGTTTTGTTTTGTTTTTATTACTTTTGGTTCCCCTTTGATGAGACAATGATAGAACTACTTCTGAGACACCATCTCCAGGACTGGAGGCTGAGGGACAAACACCAAATTTATTAAGATTGAAACTTTATCGCATTTGAACTTGGAGATTTATGTATTTTTTTCATTTATTTTTTTTTTTTTCTTTTCTTTCTTTTTTTATTTTCAATCCTCTCTCAGTCTCTCTAATGCCTGTTCAGCTTACTGTTGATTAGTACACTATCTCTCCCTGTTTATATCTTTGAAACTTTTTTTGTTGTTTGTTTGTTTTTTTCTACTTGTTTGTTATTCCATTTTTCTTTAACTTCTTTGCTTTCCATCTCCTCTCACCCTTCCATTCTAAATATCACCATTGCTATTATTACAAGCTAGAAATTACTTAATTTGCACACAGTACAGGGACAATAACAACACCAAGGGCAATGACGGGAAGACAGAAAAAACAGAGAAACCAGTTTCCCCACAGCAAAAAATTAGTACAGAAATGAGAGGGGAATGAAGAAAACAGATACTCAGATCCAGACTCCAACAAAATGAAGATAAATTATGCCAAAGAACCCAATGAAGCCCATAAGAACAATCTGAAAGAAGAAATAAAACAGGTAATCAATGAATTTTATAGAGATGATACTGGATAGGGTCAACCAAAATGTACAGGAGACACTCGAGAAATTCCAAGACAACAAAAATACAGAATTTGAAAAAGCACAAAAAGAAACAAAAGAAACCATAGACGCACTGTATAAACACCAAAGTGAAACAAAGAACATGATTAATAAAGAGATAAATGAACTCAGGACAAAAATAGACAACATTAAAGAGGAAACGACCCAGGATATGGAAAACCTCAGAAAAAAGAATGAAACAGAACTGAAAAACAAAATGGAAGGCCAATCCAGCAGAATAGAACAAACAGAAGAAAGAATCTCAGAACTCGAAGATGAAATGGTAATAAAAGGAAAAACCGAAGAACTATTAGTTAAACAACTCAAGACCTGTGAAAAGAAAATGCAAGAACTCACCGACTCCATCAAAAGACCAAACCTGAGAATCATGGGCATTGAAGAAGGAAAAGAGGTGCAAGCAAAGGGAATGCATAATATATTCGACAAAATAATAACAGAAAATTTCCCAAATCTAGAGAAATCTATTCCCATACAGATGCAAAAGGCCTCCAGAACACCAAACACACCAGATCAAAATAGAACTACCCCACAGCATATCATCATTAAAACAACAAGTACAGAAACTAGGGAAAGAATATTGAATGCTGTAAGAGAGAAAAAACAAATAACATACAAAATCACAGCAGACTTTTCAACAGAAACGTTAAAAGCAAGAAGAGCTTGGGGTGAGATCTTCCGGGCACTGAATGAAAATAACTTCAATCGCAGGATACTCTACCCACCAAAACTATCATTCAAAATAGATGGAGCAATAAAAGTCTTCCATGATAAGCAGAAACTAAAACAATATGTGACCACAAAGCCACCACTACAAAAGATTCTGCAAGGGATTCTGCACACAGAAAGTGAAACCCAACATAACCATGAAAAGACAGGCAGCACCAAACCACAGGAAAAGAAAAAGCAAGAAAGTAGAGAGTAACATCAACTTAGGTACACACAATCAAACCTTCAAACAACTAAGACAGGAATCACCACATACCTATCAGTACTAACACTTAATGTTAATGGACTTAATTCACCCATCAAAAGGAATTTGATGAAATGGATTAAAAAGGAAGATCCAACAATTTGTTGCTTACAAGGAAACCCATCTCACTGACAGAAATAAGCTCAGGCTTAGGATGAAAGGCTGGAAGAATATTTACCAAGCCAATGGCCCCCGAAAACAGGCAGGAGTAGCAATACTTACCTCTAACAAAGTAGACTTCAACCTACATTGATCAAATGAGATAAAGAAGGACAAAAGAAATGTAACAATGATCAAGCTATATGCACCCAATGTCAACGCACCCAATTTCATCAAACATACCCTGAAAGACCTAAAAGCATATATAAACGCCAACACAGTGATTGTGGGAGACTTTAACACCCCATTATCATCAATAGATAGGTCATCCAAACAAAAAATCAATAAAGAAATCCTAGCTCTAAAATATACCATAGATCAAATGGACCTACTTGATGTCTACAGAACATTTCATCCAACCTCCACACAATATACATTCTTCTCAGCAGCCCATGGAACCTTCTCCAAAATAGATCATATCCTAGGGCACAAAGCAAGCCTCAGCAAATATAAGAAAAAGAAATCATACCATGAATTCTATCTGATCACAATGCAATAAAACTAGAACTCAACAACAAAAGTAAAGACAAAAAACATGCAAACAGCTGGAAACTGAATAACTCATTACTTAATGAACAATGGGTCATTGATAAAATAAAAGAGGAAGTTAAAAAGTTCCTGGAAGTCAATGAAAATGAAAACACAACCTACCGGAACCTATGGGACACAACAAAGGCAGTCCTGAGAGGAAAGTTTATAGCCATGAGTGCGTATATTAAAAAGACTGAAAGATCCCATATCAATGACCTAACAATATATCTCAAACTCCTAGAAAAACAAGAACAAGCAAATCCCAAAACAAATAGGAGAGAAATAATAAAAATAAGAGCTGAAATCAATGAAATAGAAACCAAAAAAACCATACAAAGAATCAATGAAACAAAAAGTTGGTTCTTTGAAAAAATAAACAAGATCAACAGCCCCTGGCAACCAGACTAAATGAGGAGAGAAAAAACCCAAATTAGTAGAATCAGGAATGCAAAGGGGAGATAACAACAAACACCATGGAAGTCCAGGAAATCATCAGAGACTACTTAAAGAACCTATATTCAAATAAATTTGAAAATCTTAAAAAATGGACAGATTTCTAGATACATATGATCATCCAAAACTGAACCAAGAAGAAATTAATCACATGAATAGATCTATAACACAAAATGAAATTGAAGCAGCAATCAAGAGTCTCCCCAAAAAGAAAAGTCTAGGACCTGACGGATTCTCTGCTGAATTTTATCAGACCTTTAAAGAAGAACTGATACCAACCCTCCTTAAACTGTTCCACGAAATAGAAAGGGAAGGAAAACTGCCTAACACATTTTATGAAGCCAGTATTACACTTATCCCAAAGCCAGGCAAAAACACCTCCAAAAAAGGAGAACTATAGGCCAATCTCCTTAATGAACATTGATGCAAAAATCCTCAATAAAATAATGGCAAACCAAATTCAACAACACATCAAAAAGATTATTCACAACGACCAAGTAGGCTTCATCCCAGGAATGCAGGGGTTGTTCAACATACGAAAATCAATAAACGTAATAAACCACATTAACAGAAGCAAGGACAAAAACCACTTGATCATCTCAATAGATGCAGAAAAGCCTTTGATAAGATACAACATCATTTCATGATAAAAGCTCTAATAAAACTAGGAATAGAAGGAAGGTACCTCAACATTATAAACTATATATGACAAACCTACAGCCAGCATTATACTTAACGGAGAAAAACTGAAACCATTCCCTCTAAAATCAGGAACCAGACAAGGATGCCCACTATCCCCACTCCTATTCAACATAGTACTGGAAATCCTAGCCAGAGCAATTAGGCAAGAAGAAGGAATAAAAGGAATACAAATAGGTAAAGAAACTGTCAAAATATCCCTATTTGCAGATGACATGATCCTATACCTTAAAGACCCAAAAAACTCAACTCAGAAGCTTCTAGACATCATCAATAGCTACAGCAAGGTAGCAGGATATAAAATCAACATAGAAAAATCATTAGCATTTCTATACACTAACAAGGAGCAAACTGAAAAAGAATGTATGAAAACAATTCCATTTACAATAGCCTCAAAAAAAAATCAAATACCTAGGTGTAAACCTAACAAAGATGTGAACCACCTCTACAAGGAAAACTATACACTTCTGAAGAAATAGATTGAGGAAGACTATAGAAAGTGGAGAGATCTCCCATGCTCATGGATTGGTAGAATCAACATAGTAAAAATGTCCATACTCCCAAAAATAATCTACATGTTTAATGCAATTCCCATCAAAATTCTAATGATATTCATTAAAGAGATTGAAAAATCTGTTAAATTTATATGGAAACACAAGAGGCCACGAATAGCCAAGGCAATACTCAGTCAAAAGAACAATGCTGGAGGTATCACGATACCTGACTTCAAACTATATTACAAAGC